ATTATATGTCCTATCAGCGTACATAATTAAAATCGCGTTCTAATAACTAAGATTTAAGTTTACAATTTATTACCAAGAGATGAGGAAACCTAGTTTTGTTTACTGTAGTAATATAAATACCAGAAGACAATTGAAATAGACTTAATAGATAGATTTTAAGACGAGATGGTACTAAGTATACAAACATTTCACGCTTTCATTCCTAAATATTTCAAAATATTTCTAAGATATTTCAAGTCTCTAATGTCTCAAAATTTTCACAGTCTTTCAAAATGAAAATAGTTTGTAAATAATTTTAAATAAATAAATATAAGTTTTCATATTTTTTATTAGTTTTAATTTATATTAAATAACTTACAAATAAAATATATATTAAAAATGGCATATGTTCATAATATTAAATATAAGTTAGATATAATTTGTACGGAATAAGGGACGAAAGATCGTCTATAGCGGTAGCACGTCGTCCGCCTGAGCGCTATTGGCGGAGCGTCTTCTTTTAATTGGTGCCATTTGTTCGCTTATTTCGGGCACTCGAATTTTATAACTGTTTCTTAGATGGGAAATCCTCAGAAACACGTAGAGGCAAGAATTTAATAAAAATAAAACCACTTTGGAGTTATTCGTAGTTTAAGAAAAAAGGTTAAGAACTTTTAAAAATAAAAAATTATTTTTCTTTGTTGCGAGAATTTTCAAAGTTTAAGACTTTACACGTATTTAAATAAACATCGATCCCTATATCTTTATTAGTTTTTTATTAGGCTTTTGAAAAAATATTACCACTATTTTTTGAAAGTTGATAATTTTTAATTTAATTAATATTTTGGTATGAAAATTTAGCGGAGAGCGATAACCTGTATACGTACATAAATTTTGTAAAGTTTAAAGGAATCCTTCACCGAGGCCTGCAGGCCTATTGAAATGCCTGTGAATCATCCCTATTTAGATTCAGGTCAAAATAAATAAACATCGTGTCTCTTCTGGTGTTAATATACGGCGCCGCACTTAAGCCCGAGCATCTTGAGACGGCAACCTCAAGGTATTTATTGACAAAAGGCAATTTTAACAAAGACAGAAAGACAGAGCAGGCCAAACGTATCGCGTTAAGCCAGACAAACATAATAGAACGTGGTTAATAGCTTGGTTTTCTTACCGTATTGTCTCCCTAGTCTATCATAATATTGCTAGTTCTTGAGTATCATAAATTTTATATGAAGCCATAAATTATATTCTTAGCTTAATTGAAGGTTTTATCGATACATTTAAATTGGAATCCCAATAGAACAAAAAGTTTCTCGAGAAGGGTATTTCAATGAAAATCTAGTTTTGTTTCCGTTAAAATAAAACGTAGTTTTCACTTTCCAAATAAAATCATCCAAGTAATACAAAAACTTTTCAAGCCATACTTTCTTCCCGAGTGATTTTAAAAATGAATTGATCTCATCGCCCGGCTCGAACGAGTTTTGCAAACATTTACCTCGATCAACGGAAAGAGCTTTGAATTTGCGTTCATGCGGGAGTAACAAAACGAAGTCAGGCGCACAGTGCAGAAAAGCGAAAAAAGAGAGAGAAAAAGGGAGAGAGAAGCGAAATCGCGCTAACAAGAACTCGTTATTGGGAAAGAGAAGCGAGGGGAGTAGGGGGTGAAGGCGAATTGCAGCTTAGATCTGGCGCTCTTTTTCTACTTACAGCTTCGGAGGGAAAATTGCGCTCGGCCGTGCCGATCGAAGGACATTGTCGGCTTTTATTAGAGTCCAAGCGCGGATCCACAATCAAGTGATGAATGAACCAATTATCGACGTATATCCACGCGTGGTGCAACCTTAATTTTAATGAAAAAAACTTGGAGCTTCGAGGGAGAGATTTTTTGCCACGCAAGTAAAAAAGAAAGGTGTCACGGATGTATGGCCGGATTAAGCCTCCTTGGTAATTTTTACGAGAGGCCATTTGCCGCTAAAATCCATTTGGCTTAATCAATTCGACTGCAAAAGAATAGAGAGAGAGAGAGAGAGAGAGAGGAAGAAGGCGATCGAATTCAATCAGGACCGCAATTCATCATGGCTACGAGCGAGTGAGTGAGAGAGTCGTGTTATTTCAAGCGACTAGCGCACGTGTGGTGCTCACTAATGGCCTGAAATACTTATAAGCTCGGATCACGGGATTTTCGACTCTCGTGCGGAGCTAGGTACGTGCTGCTCTCTCCGCTGCCACCGCCGCCGGCGAGTAATCGAATTTCTTTTGGTTCCGCCTCAAACAAACTTGCCGGGCGTTCTATCTCTTTTTCTAAGGGCACCTGCGTGATTCCGATATCGATATCGCCGGCTCCCTTTGAACTGAATTTCCTATTTTGCGCGACAATTGGCAAACTAAGTGTTCCCGATTATTCATCGAAGAGCTCGTTCGCTCGAGGAAGAACGAGGATGCGAATAGCTTGCAATTTTACTGATTGCAACTCCATTCAAATCTACCAGTTCACGTGTAAATGCATGTTTGAATACCACTTGTGCGTTGCTGCAGCGCTGGCCAAAACTTTTTCATTCAATTCAAGTTTGTTTTACACTGATCGCGGAAGCAATTTTACTTTTATTGTTCTTTTGATTCTTTGTCTTTACCTTCTCGTTGAACGAACTTGTTCGTTAAGATGTTAACAAATGGTACACGCAATAATGAAGGAGCAGCTGCTTTGATTCATTAATGGGATTCGACAATTAAAAACAAATTAGTATTGTAAACAAACAGATTAGAAACTTTCATTTTTATTCTCTCTGTTTGAATGGCGTCCGTAATGGTAACTAAATAAGCAAGTGCAACTATTTCGTGTTTTTCCCATTTCATTTGTAATAAACAATTGTCTGTTAACGTTTTCCGGTATCATGATTATATAAACAAGCATGGACAGTTAGCGCACATTTTTATTCCTATCAAAGGTGCTCAGTGTATGACTCTAATTAACGAATATTGATTTAGCGAGGAAATTGCGTGAAAACAGAACAAATAAGAATGATCCGTCATTTATTTTGGATAGTTTTGAATCCAAATGATGAATAATTAAGCGTTATGCGGGTGCGAATATGTAAACTTCTTTCTGCAAAACTGCTCTAATAATCTGTAATGCAAAATCATCGAGAGCAAATTCAGTGATGAGATATCGATGTTCAAACGAAATTCAGTAATAAATTCGATGATAAAAGCAGCATCACTCTGTCAACGATTTTCCTTTGATGTCGAAAACTGTTCGTCATCAATAAAACGATTGTCCTATTCGTCCAAATAATTGCGTGTTCCGTTATAGTACATTTCGATACTGGCCGCACAAGCCTGAAATCACTTTCTCACGAGTGCATCTAACTTTATTTTTCGGGGCAACTTCTCACTCAACGCTTAAAACAAACGTACAATTTCGCAAGGATCACAATCAGATCCAATAACAGCATATTACAATACGTGTAACTGAAGTAGCCCATTAGTGCACGGCGTGGTATTAGCGCCCGAGTAGAAACGAGAGAAAAGAAACCCTTGATGACTATCGGTGACTTTTCACTGGTGGAGTCCAATAGTTATTAGACTCTATTGAACCCTAAAGCCGTCAGTCACTTTCTCTTTTCCTTTATTCATTTATGACCAATTCATTTATGATTCTGGTGATGGTTATTTAATGTGTCGAGTATTCCCGTAGCTCTTGGGAGTCTGCATTTTACCTGACATAAATGTCGTGTTCCCTTTCGCAATGCATAATACACCAAAAGCAAAAGATTTTCAGATGCATTCGAAGACTTAATATCATGCAAAATTATTGGGATTGTTGCGAATAAAATACAAACGCTGACTCGTAATCGACATGGCGGCCAGCGAGGGGCTACTTGAAATCAGCGGCATCGCGTGTCAATTGGTCGCAGCATCCTTGCAAGCGTGAATGCCAAGACGTGGCGCGAAATCCACGACATTCCTGCTTTTGCGAGCAAGTGATTAGTCGAATCGGTTGCCGAACTCGAGCATTAGTGGTACATCGGGGCGAAACGGCATTGAGTGCTCGACTCGCCTGCCCTGTTCGTGACTTATCGTTCGTTATGTTTACTTGTCCTCTTTAGCGGGTGTTATTCGATTGGTTATTATTATTGTTGGGTGTTATTGTCACCATCGCTGACAATTGAGCGTCGCCGAGAGACAATACTCAGAAACGATTATACCGAATGAATTTGAGAATATGTATACCAAGCTCTACTGGTTTTAGAATCTTATCGACGAGTAAATCGGCATCACGCGAATACTTTCGACTCGAATGGCCAAAAGCAGCTGTCTGCCCGTGACATATGATTCAATCGTATGCGCTGTCTGGATAAAAAGGGTGTCGGTGTTGGCCACTGTTAGGAATGTTCAATTAGAAAAATTGAAATGATTTTAACGATGCAAAAATATTGCGGAGAGGTAGCAAGAAGAGGAAAAAGCGAAAGTTGCGGGCGGAGGAACAAGGTTAGGGTAGGTAATGGGTTGGCCTTCTTGCTCTCCTCATTAGCTTGATGACGGTCCCCGCATTCGCATTGGACACTGGCCCCAAACGATCTCCTCTGCAAGAGGGATGGGGGTGAAACTCATAGGGTATTTAAGGAGTGCAAGTTAGCATTTTGAAACCAATATTCTCAAGAGCAAGTCGTATTTCTCCGATACTTTTGCCTTTGCCTCTGACTAGTATATTGCCTGCGTTCTGTTACACTTTCATTCTGTCTTTTTGCTTATTTTTTTTCGGCAGTCTTCAATAAAAGAAGAGTAACCTTTTTTGCTACACTTTTATTCCGTCCTTTTACTTATTGTTTTTTTCCGTCATTCTTCAATTACTTTGCGTCAGTGAGCAAGTTTAAATATGGCTTGTGTTCCCGCCAGATCAGCGACAAGAGTCATGTCTTTAGACACAAATGCTGTTCAGCGCATGCGCGGTAAGATCGATTCGCGTTCCGTTCTCCCACCAAACCAAGGGTGGAACTCGAACCAGTCGCAATCGCGAATAGACATCAGAGTACACGCAGTAGACGGAAACTCGCACACAGAAAACGTTCCGTGCACGTCTAGCTGCCTTATAAATCAATTTCCATTTAACGGCCATCGATTATCGACGGCAGAGTGGCTAGAATCGCAAAATTATCCAAGCAATCAATACAAATTACGTTGTTGTAAGAACAACAATAGCAGAGAGTACTTCAAGACTATCTTCGAGTCAGTTGAAAAAGCATTTCTGGAACAGGCCCCATATCGTGTCAGAAGAAATATTCCGTTGATAGAAGACATGGCCAGTTTTCACCGAAGAGACGAACTCGACGAAGGTGATGCCGATGATTTAGAGGTTAATTTTGAGAGCGGCGACGCTTTTGTCGAGAGTACTAGACGCAAATGGCTCCGCGCCGAGAATCCACTGAAGGTACTCGTTGATGGCAATCTCAAGGAAATTGCGGTTCAGCTTCCCCAAGGCAAACTCAACGTTAGAAAACATTTTACTGGTGAAGATGTGCAAGCAGTATGGAACTTCGAAGTTTCTGTACAAGGTACGTACGTTTGGCTTTCACATTTTTGCTTTGGCACTTGCTTGCTTACTGTTTTCTTGTTGTTATTGTTTTTTTCAATTTCAAAACGAGCAGATGATACTCGAATTGTTTATGCGCCTCGAGAGAACAGCTGATACTTTGGCGCTAGTTGTTGCTTTGGATTGAAGTATCAAGGGCCATTTATTGCTTTTTTTATATAAAACGTTCTTGATACAGAAATAATACGTTACTTCGAATTTTTTTTTATTTGTTGATAAACAAATATTTTTATTTAAATTTCTTTCCACTTGTAAACATATAAACCACATATAACACAGAGCTTATAAAAGATATATATATCTTTCTTTCTAGTCTTGAGTATCGTACAATATGCTCATTTCTAAGACAAATTTCTTTTTTCCGATGCTAATAAATATATTTAATATTTTTAGGCATGAAATACTTAAAAAATGTGAGCCTAGCAATGGATAATAGCACAAATCACTTTACTATCAAGTCTGTACTTGGAGATTCTCTTTGTACCGACAACATGTTCTCGCAACACTATGTGGCACCTGTAGAGTCCTTTCCAACAAGTGCAAAGCCAAGTGTGGGTCTCTATATAGTTGAGATTCAATTTCAAAGCCACACAACTGGCACTTTTTGTCAAGATGTATTATTCGGCTTTAATAAAGGACCAGTGATTCGTCGTCAGATATGCATTGACTGCATACTTCCAGAAGATGAGATTCGTCTGGAAGCAGCACGCGAGTACCTGCTCTATTTGTGTCAGCAGAATCCACAAAAGACACCTATTGTTTGGTTCAAATCGCCTTTTGTGCCAGAGCGTGACATACGTGAATATAATTTATGCCAAATGTATCCGAAGCCAGAGTTGGATCAGTTTTTCTTAACTCACACTACACTAAAGGAGACTGCACTGGATCGAAGGAACTATCGTAGGAGATTGCATGAGTTAGTGACTATTGAGGAGATGGCAAGACGTGAGCAAATTGCACGTTACAACGAAGTGACTGAACTGAGGTTGTCGAACGATTATATCCTTACTTCTGACACTGATGCTTCAACTGTTGCTAAATATGTGTCTCCTGGAGAGTTATTTGCTCAGGTAAGATTCTCTTTCATGTATAATTAATGTACTTTAGTTTTTTATCAGTTGCAATAAGGCTAAATTTGCTTTGCTTAATCAAAGCTTGTGCTGTATCAAATAGATTTCTTTTAAATTATATTATGAGTTTTGTTCTTCAATACTTTCAATGTTCGAATCCAATTTATTTATATGTGATTTTAATTACGTAACAGAGTAGCAAAGATTTAATCAGTTAAGCTATATTAAGATTAATATTAGATGACAAAAGATTGCCTGGCAACGTATAATTATCCCACAAAAAACAAAGTACTTAAACAAACAAACAAAGAGACAGCCAAACGATTCCCTATTCTCACATCACCATTTTAGCTACCACTCGGAAGAGAAATATCGGAAGACACAAAGAGTGGACGTCTTCTCCTGCGCAGCTGTAATTACCTACTAGTGCAAAAAATCACTTTCAGTGACGACCCAACTGCTCGACCGGTCCTCGGCGAAAAAATCTACGAAGCACATATTGAGGACAAATGTAACCACTCAATTTACGTTCGTCTATCAAAGGAATGTGTCGACCAATTAGGATTGCTACCGGATACGAACGTAAAAATGTATGTGCAATTCGTGATGAATCGCACACCATTCTGCGAGTGGCATCGAGCAATCGATGCATTACCCGACACCAGAATCGTCTTCCCCGAGCCAAAAATGCCTAGAAGGAATGGTAGCTACGATGACCGGAGACTCGACTGGTCCAACGAATGGACGACCAGCCTTAAGGATTGCCGACTGAATGATAAGCAAAAGGAGGCAGTAGCCATCATGATGGCTCCAAGCACAGAAATTTTACCACCTGTATTGCTTCTCGGACCCTTTGGCACTGGTAAAACTTCGACCATCGCACAGGCATTGAGGATATTATTGGTGAACGATCTAAAAAGTCGAGTAATTCTTTGCACCCACAGTAACAGCGCTGCCGATCTCTACGTTAAAGAATTTTTCGATCTCTGGTATAAGGAGACCAAAAATCCTAGACTAAAACCACTCAGGATTTACTACACTGGTCGCTCACGAACAACGGTAAGTTAAAAACCACTTTTTAATTAGTAGCGAGCCGAATGTCGGAACGGCTCGAAGAAATGATGTATGTCTGTTCTGCTCTTGTAGGTGCACGCAGTCGTCCGCGAGTACTGTCCGTCGGACCGTCACTTTAACTTCCGCGATCCAACGAACGAGGATCTAGCGGAGTGCGGCTTAGTGATCTCTACCTTGGCAACGTCCAGTTGCCTGATGGCACTCGATTACAGTCCCACTCATATAATAATCGACGAAGCCGCTCAAGCTCTTGAGTGCGAGGCACTCTCATGTCTCGCACTAGCCAATGAACGCACGAGGCTTGTCTTAGCGGGTGACCAAATGCAGTTAGCACCCGAAGTGTACAGCGATTTGGCGCGTGAGAGGAATCTCGGCATGAGTTTACTCGAGAGAATCCATCTCAATTACGAACCCAATCACCCCTGCAGAATACAATTATGCACAAATTACAGAGCTCATAAAGATATCGTCAATTTGACTTCTGACTTATTTTATTTGGGTAAAATCGAGCCTGGCGCGAGTTTACCGTCACACCCGAAACTCTCGCCTTTGACATTCTACGCTTGCGAAGGAAATGTAATGCAGGTGAGTCAAATGCTTCATAAATCATTCGATGAATGGTCATAGGTCGAGTCGTAAGCTTACTAAAAACTATCTTGTCTATTGATTTTTTCAGGGTAGTAACTCTACAGGCTACTACAATGCAGTAGAAGCTGCCGAGATAGCTGAGCGTGTGTCGGATCTTCGTCGCCATTGGCCAGCGGACTCTTGGGGTCCATTCGGCGAAGGTTCGATAGGCGTATTAGCACATTATGCCGAGCAAGTGCTCCTTATCCGTGGCGAGCTACGCAAGCGACGTCTATTCAATGTCTCGGTCGAAAGAGTGCTAAATGTACAGGGGAAACAGTTTACTGCGGTTTTCATCAGTGTGGTGCGCACGCGCCATTGCAGTCGACACTCGGCCGAGAGACAGCTTAGCGATTATGGGTTCTTGACCAATGCACGGTTGCTTAACACAGCCGTGACACGTGCAAAAAGTCTTGTTGCGGTGGTTGGAGATCCAGTAGCACTTCTTACTATTGGTAAGTTTTTATTTGTCTATTTATTTATTTATTTTTGAATTCGTAGTATTTATACGTAATTTTGCTTGTATCGTATTTAAACATATATTATCAACATTTATATTGAAATTACACAAATGAATATTCTTGTCTAATTAAAAAAAAACTTCTCGAGATCAATTTCGTTTGAAGTAATAAATGAGCGGTATTGAATTTGGCAGAATGAAAATTAAAATGTTAAAGCGTGTGCTGAATATTTGCGTTTGTGTGTGTAACAGGATCATGCAGCAACCACTGGCGTCGTTATTTACGCACGGCAGGTGTGCACGGTATGGATCCACGTGAACTAGACTACCACTTACACAAGGTGAACGAGCCGTCGCTCGGGACGGCACTCAATCCACTGGCCAAGGAGTTCATACCGCGAACCGGTACGCAGGCGCAAAATCCATATTGGATCGAGTACGTGCCGATGCCGATCAACTATCCGGTGATACATTGCTCCGTTAACGGCACTGCTGCCAATGGAGGCGTCGTGTGAGATACGACAGAAAGCTTTATACTTAGGTCTTAAGTAATGCACTCGATCATCATTTTTTTGTCTTTTTTCATATTAGCTACCTATTCTGTCATTTTATGTTAATTGTACGTAGTTTAGTCTGTTACTGAATCTCTCTTTCGCTTGCTTGATTCCGTTCGATAGCTTATTATTTTTTCCATCCTTATTTATGACGATAACGATGACGAATTTAATCTTTTTGATTTGATTTTTTTTCTTGTACTTTTATTTTTATTTTATATTGATACATTGTAATTGTAGAAACGTCCATTCCTATGTATTATATAATTATTCATTGTAATGTAATTGACAAGGACAATTTTGTCAAATAAATATAGAGCGTAAGTTGTTCTTAAAAAATACATTTGTGACTTTGTTTTCTAAAAATATAATCCTTTTCCTTCCGTCAAAGTTCTATAACCAACACGCAAAAAATAAAAGAAGTCATGAATATTCGGAACGATAAAACTTGATGAAATTACTTTCTTTTCCGAGTAGTTTAGCGGGGGAGGGGCGCAGTCTCGAATTCAAAATAGTCAAAGCGATAATAGTGCCCTAGGCTATTAAACTTCTGATGTATGCATGCATTCTAAAATTATGTTATAACTTGAGCGGGAGGAGGTTCGTCAGTAAAGTTCCAAGTATTATGACCATGAATATAAAGCCAGAATAACAAAATTTCAAATTCATACCCATGCGTGTATGCCCTTCCGTTATTTTATCAATGGAATATACAATCAAATTTCACAACATGAAAAATCCGCTTCGCTTCTCTAGAGATTATGCGACGAGAGCCGCACTTTCATTGAACGGCACTTCGATCTTTCTCTAGAAAACACAACACAACACTTAAAGTTTTTGCCGGTGGCTTAGAACGAGGATTCTTGGAAGCGCTCCAACGAGAGCAAGTGCAACGCGCTCTGCCTTGATTTTATTTAATAACTCCTTCAAAGTACATCGGAGCATGGTTTTACAAACTGCATTCGAGAGAGGTGTTACGAGTTTACTTCGAGATCCGGGTAGCGAGGGCTTTCAACTTTGATAAGACCGTACAGTTTTTCGCATAAAATCAAAATTCAATTAAAAGTACTTTCAATTCACTTACCTGTATCTCATTATACGAGTATTCCAATCGTTATATCATTCCGTGGGGATTCTCTCAGCGCAATACCCATTCACACGAAAAAAAGACATCTCGCTCGACCAACGTATGTATATAATCCACAAAAAATAATCCCCTCTTGACCATTCGGCTTTCGCTCGTCAAAAGCTGCGCGGCAGCGAAAAAGAACCTTCCGCGGCAAAGGGAGCGAGCGAAAAGTTAACGACAGCCCCCTTTTTTTCCATTATACCGTCGATTACCAGGCGATGAATGGAGGCTGCAAACGAGCACGCACACGAGGCAGTATAGCAATTCAAAGGGAGCTGCTCGGTTAGAATTATCGGCCGGCCGTTAACGGCTTCCGCCACGCGCACGAATGCTCTCCGGAATAAATTTTCGCCGCTGCCACGGTCGCAAGCTCCTTTTTACACCTTCCCAAACTTACCAGTGTGCGTGCAGGAGCATTGTTTCATCTTCTCTCTCTCTCTCTCTCTCTCTCTCTCTCTCTCTCTCTCTTTCTCACTCGTTTGATTAATTAAGACACTGCGCGAGAGTTTAATTAAAAATACTTGTCGTTCGGCCGCGCTGAGCTTTTCAGAGAAAGAGAGAGAGAGAGAGAGCGAAATATTTTCTGGCCACGGCTACGTTCTTTGTTGAGATTTCTTGAAAATGAAGCTGGCATTGTTATTTGTCTGAGCGTTGTAGAGAGCAAATTATTACGTTGTAGAAGGGTTAGTCGAGGTTCGGAGACACTTTTATTTTACGGCTTAATACTTCAATCTTATCCGATACAATCTGTCTGCTTGCGGTGCCATACCATTTAACGATAAGATGGTCAACATTAATCATTGTGAGTTGAGTGATGTTTCAATAAAATAGCCGAACAAGTATAGATTATATATACGTACATAATATTACATAAAGTATTATGTAGATAATAATCTGTTAAAAGTTGTGAGGATACGTCAAACGCAGTACATATTCTTTTTGTTTAAAGAATAGGTCATTCTCAAGTCAGACTTAAGGGTTAGAAAGTATTTTCATACTCCATCCTCAAGGCAGCAAGCAATGGCAGATGCCGAAGAGAGAAAGGGAGGGAGGTCTATAAGCGAGCATCAGAGACTTGAAAGGATCTAGACCCAGTCTCAATTCTCACCTTGAGAATGTTAAGCTCCGGCCATTCTCTCTTACCAGAGAATCCGGGTTTGTATGCAAAGAACTCTGCTAAATACTTAGGCTCTCTCATACAAATGATTTTGTACATAAACGGGGCAGTAAAATAGTTCGTGCGAGAATCAGTGCAGAGCTAATTCAGCTGCTTTCTGGGAAATACCACCACGCAATAATCAAGATGTGGCTGGATCAGTAATCTCCTGCGCAGCTTTAGCGTGGTGCAAGCTGTTCTAAAGAGCAAACTTTATTGCCTTTTTTTGTGACTTAGTCAATGTCTAGCCTTGCCGATTGCCCACTCTGCCACCATCTATGCCATTCTGGATAGTCTCACAATGTTATCCAGTAGGTCGTCCTTAGCGTTGTGCAGATAAATCTACAAGTCATTGGTGTAAAAAATGTGCCTGACGTCTTGTTATTTCAGTACATGCTGCAGGTCATTGATGTATAAATAAAATAGCGGTCCCAAAACAGAACCCTATGAAATACCTAGATTGATCTTCAATCGACTGGATTCACAATCTTTGGAGGACACTCTGAAATCGACCTTTCGGATACGATTAAACTACAGAGGAGCCACTCTGGAGAAACTACGTCAACAAGTTTAAATGCACTAATTTAGAAGGTGGAATGCTGTAAAATACTTTGTTGAAATGAAGCAGTACTAATAGGGTCATCTTTTGTTTGTTAATGGCCGTTTGGAAACTACGGCGCTTGCTGAATACGGTCTGGAAAGAGTCAAAAATATTATTATTGTTTAGATACTTAGGAGTCGATGGTGTGTTGCTCTTCATTATAACGGTGAGTTGTGCCTGTTTCCAAGCGGTCGAAAAAATGGCTGAAAGCGAGCAAGAACAGAAAATGGACACGCGCCACTTGGGTCCTTCGGCTCCGCCCATAACGGAGGCGAAGATAAAATCTGTGAGATAAAAGAAACGGCAAAGTGCAGACAGAGCAACCTCGTATTCGCTGAATTTGAATAAATTTACATCTCTAATTTTCAAATCATGGTGTCATCTATACTTGTTCGGCTATCCTCTGTAGTGTCATTATTATTATCATCTGATATGATTAAGCTTCTCGCAATTACAGCATAAACGAGCGACTAAAAAAAGGCATTCTAATTTGTCACGAACTCGTAAAGCAACCGGGTCAAATCTAATTCTTAATCCCTCGCTTCGTTCGGGCATAAACCTCACACGAGACAAGCGTCTGCTTTCCCGCGCTAGTTAAGTAATGCACGCAGTAACAGGTTGCCGTTCGTTCGACTCTGTTGAACATTTCAATTCCTTTGTATCCTGACAATTAATAATTAGCTATGATAAATCAACAATCAGACATTAAGCGCTATCGAATATAAAGTAGCCGGTCGTTGTCACTCTCTTGGTTGAACTCTGCTTTAATCCGCGAGGGTTGATACCCTAATACTTTCTCCTACCTGTGTGTGTATGTATTTCCAGATACACAGGCTTACAGGCAGGTGTTAAAGCAGGTCTCTCAATAGATATTCTCACACTCATCATTTCTGAGAGCTGCTAAGTACGTAGTGGGCCGAGCCGCTTTGCTTCCATTTATGACGCATCTCTTGCAGTATATATATATGGATCATGCTGTTTTTATTAACGTTTCCGAAGGCGAACGGCTCAAGCAACGCACGGAAACAATGTAGCTTAGAATAAACACCATCTCTTTCAAGTTTTCCAAACCGTCGAAACCATTCAGATTGGACATTTTCGAATAGAGGCACTGTAGCATCGCGGCAAAGGTATCGCAGTAAAAAGTGAAGATACTCAGCGCTACGCACATCACGAAATCGCGTTAATAGCTCTTTCTCTCTCATTGACATGCTTTTCCGAAATCCTACGGTGGTAACGTCCACCAAGTTTTTTCCCACTAACGGCTCACCCTTGATTTCTATCCAAGCGCGCTTACTGATTGACCTTCGATTCACCATAGCTAATTATTTATTCATCGGATAAAAAAATGTACTATAACAACATTTTCCATGTCGTTCTGTGTATTGTGGTTAAAACATACTCTGCATGCACATAATCGCCGAAAACAAGGAATGACAATCAAACAAAGTGTCGTCAATTTGTTAAAAAAAATTCATCGTTCCAAAATCGATGAAATAATTTTACGAGTGCGAAAAGCTTTCAACGACGTAATATTCTGTGATTCGCAGTCTAAAAAAAAATGCATTTTTTCCAGCCTAGCGGGCTTTAATTTTCCGCTACGATCAAATAAAATCTCGCCGGGAACAAATAAAAAAGTCCGTTTCACCTTGACCAAAACGCGCATCCGAATAATCACCGGTGTGTTCGGTCTCTCTCTTTTTTATTGCGCACAACCAAGTTTTTTTCTCGCCCATTACACTCGAATCTCTCTCACTCCTACGGTGACGTGATTGTTCAGCTGAACGGATGCGAAAAATTTTGCGAGCTTTGCTACCACCACTACCACCATCACCACCACTACTCGCGTATATGGATAGGTGGAATTGAGCTCTTCTCCTGAATTGTGCGATTATCGTTTCGTACGCTCGCGCTTGACGATCGTTATATGCCCCAGGATTATCCGTGTGGCGCGAGATAGAGTACCGGTAAATATTTGAGTGAAACGATCGTTTGACGGCAATAAAGAAAAAGGCTTTGTTGATTTTTTTTTATTTTTTTTCTGGCGTTATACTTGTTAGTTTAAATGGAAAAGTTGAGTGGTTTACACTAGAGCTTTTCGTTCGGATGTTAAAAGTTTGCACTCGCAAAGGTTGGTCGAAATGGTTTGCACAAATGTAACAGTAGTACGTAAAACATTGGCGTAGTGCACGAATACAAGACGTTCCCGTAACTTTTGTTCGATGAAACATGCGACGACAAAGATTTTGACCGAAATAATGAAAATTATTGGTTTCCAAAACGAAAAGAATAAAAAAACAAACGAACGTTTCGTTAACATAAAGACTACAAGAGGCAAGAATCTAAAAGGCTCGCGAAGCATTTTCCAAACAATCCCGTGCAATCATACACGCTATTTCGTGCGGGAGGGTGGCGGGGTCGTCGAATTGAGCATCGCATCGTAGCAGCCGTCCTCTCCCCCTCACTTTCACGTCAGCGAAATCGTCCTTAAATTTTCCACCGAATTCCAAACTGCCTTGGCTTTCTACGGCCGGCAAGGCTTGACGAGACGGCGTCGTCTATCCTTTTGTTGCTCCTTCCGCCTCTTTTTACTGCTGCTCGCATGTTGCTGCATGTGGCGTGTTTTCACCTTCTTCCCTTTTTCCCGTCGTCTCGCGTCGTCGACTTTGAGTTACGCGCCCGGACTCGGTACGCGCGCGAGCGCATTGTTTCGATCTTCTTGGCTGCGGACGTGACTCGATTCGATAGTTGATTAAAAGCAGCCTTGCGCGCAAATGACAAGTGACCCCGCCAAAGATATATAGATAAGGGAGGACAGTCAGATATGGAAGTTTTGCGATTTTTCGCGAGCGCCGGACGATGACGGAGATTCATTCGCGGGGAGCAGCGCGAATAATGAGATTCGCGTGAGTTGCTGAAGAAATCTGCGAGTTCCCTCTCCCTCCGCCGAGAGAACTTTCCTATTAAACTTTCAAATTTCATTTTTTTTCTGCCGCGACTGCTTAGCATAAGTTTCTAGTTTTGCCGCCTGCGAAGATGGGATTTTTTCAAATGCAAACACGAATGAGGCCCCGAATGAAATAAAAGTCTTTTCATACCATCGGCCGAGAATGAAAAGCAAACTGAAAATAAAGCCGCACGCGTACACTCAAAAAAAATGGTTATAATAGCCAACGAGTAATAAACCTGTCGCGAGCAAATTTAACTCTTTTTTTCCTCTTTCCCAGACGGTTCTTGAATATAACCTCCATCCGAGAGTTTAATTGGTTTTTATTGCGGTGCTCATTTATAGTCCGAGCAGACAGTAACTTTTTTTAAATTTATAACGCTCGAACGGCCCGAATGCAAATATTAACCCCTCTAACAGAAAAGAAACATTACTACTGAGCGATAATATGAAAATTCGGTTGTTCATGCCTGCAGATAAAAGGTCTTATTAAGGAAAAAGAAATTCACCACCTAGCAAATTTGCAGGCTTTTAATTCGATGGATTTTTGAATAATAAACGCGTTCCGAATGAAAAGAATATTTTCGAGCGCACAAGTATAGAACCGCTGAATGAGAGAATCGACCAATTTCCATTTTACGTACAATAAATGGTATCATTGAAATTAAAGTCTAAAATACTTATACGTTTGCCGCGTCCGGCTCAACATTCACCAAATGTTCTTCACGGATATTTATCGCATTTTAAAATAACCGAAATTTCTATCTCCGTTTTATGTTTCATTATTAATTGCCACTTGATATTTGAATGTATCGTTAACCAAATATACCAAGCTGTATATAATTATTAGCTTTTTAGGGTATCGAACGTTTGTAAAATATATTGGTGATCGAAAATATGTAAGCGATGTACTGCATGACAGGTGGATAATGCATAAGGTGATTACGTTGTGCAAACAGGTGCCTCGGCAAAGGTATTTTTAAATTAATTATACCGGGAATTTCGAGGATCCGATGTCAACGTAGTAAAATAAAAAAAAAATTGAGTTGCCACCGTTAAGGAAAAGAAGCATGTAGAGGCGTGAAAAAGTGCATTCCGCGTGGAAGCATCCATTTTCGCTGGAAAATAAAATCAAGCGACAGAAAGGAGCCCAACGACAATTCGAAATAAAAGTGAACGTTCGCGCAGGCGAGCGCGTTCTCACGTCCAGTGCGCTCGTCGTCGCAAACAAACAAAGGGTCGCGAAAGCAAATTCCAACCGATCAACTGTCTCTTCGTCTCCCGTATGCTCTCTCTCTCTCTCTTTTCCTCCCTCCCAAGAGAAAAAGCCCCGGAGAATACTTAAGCGGAGAGAGCAGAGCGCTCCTAATCCACGATGTGACGTGGAGGTTCGAGGGAGGCGAGCTTTTTCCGTTTTTGCCTCGCTGGAATAAAGCAATCTCGTTAACTTTTTGTCTCTGCCGCGTCAAAACGGAAATTGCGAGCCGCCCGCGAGGAACTTAACTGGCAGCGCCGGAATGGACTTGCTTGCTTGGGAGACGTAAGAGTAGAGCCTCGTAATTCCAGCCGCTGAGGGATTCTTTTTTGGCCGACGTCGACGCCGGCATTTGTATTCTGCGGCTTCGATGGACGTGTCGTCGATACTACGCTAGTTTCCGCAGCCGCGGGGTTAAAGGGATCACGAACTTGGTTTTATGTGTAATACACTACCTGAATCCATTGTTCTTTCCGATGCTTCTTGGATTTATTTTTCTTTACGAACTATTGAAAAATAATGCGTGATAAAACGGTCTTGAATTTTCTTTTAACGATTTACCAAACGACCGTTACGCTGATTTGATACGTCCAAACGGAAAGATACGTCTTCGTTTTATAAGAAAGCAAACGTTAGGCCTTTGGCTTTATGGACTACTTGTGCTTACTTGATCAACCCAACAAAGGGATAATATACTTCTCGACGACCTATCGAAACGTACGCAAAAAACAAAGTTCCTTTCCCTCAAAGGCATTGCAATAATAATGAAGTGTCTTACCTCCTGAGCGTGGCAAGTCGTTGTTCCTGTGAGCTGATGTAGCCCTGGAGGGTGTCGATCAGGACGGACTCGGTCTCGAGGAGCTCCTCCATGTCGACGAGGGCCGTGTAAAGCTCTGCTCGGGCCGTTTGCGCCAGAAGCAACAGCATCAGGCCTGTCAGCCATGCCGCTAATCTCGTCATTGTCAGTCGGTCGCTGCAACGCAAAATTTCATTTTCACGATTTTAACGGGATCCAGGACAGAACGTACGTTAGAAGAGCCGAGTGGTTCTTCGCGGTCGTCGACGAGTCCCCAACAAGTCAGGAATCGTCGAACGAGATCGGCCGTCGAGTAGTGCGAATCTCGACTGGGGTTAATTGCCACTGAATCGCCATCCGGTCGCTAAATCGAGTTGGCGATCCTCCTCGGCGCGCTTCGTCAAACAGCCCGCTACTTTCCGAAGCGATCGAAATGTTTGACGGCGAGAAGAGGAGAAAGTGGAGCTGCTCGTAACGAAGAGTCTCGCGGAGACGCATCTCCGAAATAAAGGGCCGAATTATTATAATGGATGCAAAGCAAACTACTCGGCAGGCAGGCGGACCGGAGAGACGGCCAACTTCACAACAGTAGCTTCTGTCTCCATTAGCCAGCAGAAAAAAAGAAGAGAAGGGAGAGACGGAGGAGCTGAGCTACTCCAGTCACAATTAAATTACAAGAGTTTGCAACGCTTGGCAATCATATCTTCTTTCCCCGAAAGCGACTGCTGTCAATGAGGAGCAAAGGGCTCGGCGACGCTAAAAATTTAATAAACGTGAATAATCAGCGATAAAAGAGGAAGCGAAAAGCCATTGTTTACTCTCGCAAGCTCGTTTTTTCATTCTGCGTGCGCGTGCGCGTGTGCGTCTGTCTGTCTGTCTGCCTCGGGTCTCCAGTTTTTCTCTATCCCTCGCGAGCGGCTCATAAAAGAGGAAAAATCCGGCGCGTTTGTCTCGGTTTCATTACACGCCTCTATCTCGCAGTCTTTCGCAAGCAAACGGCCTGGAGTTAAGCAACGAGAAAGAAACAGCGCGCGGCTCGGCTAATTGTTTGTTTATTTCTTCATTTATTATTTTCAACTAACGTGAAAATCAACGCCCACGCGAGTCGCGCCTCTTTTTCACATTATCCATCGGTGCCGAACACAAAGAAAAGAAAAAAAGACAGGTCGATCGGAGGGCATTCTCGCGCAACCCTCAGCGACGCGCAGCGCAAAGTCGTCGGCGCGAGAATTTAATTAAGAGAGCGGCGACGTGTGCGCACAGCCCCCCACGCGGCATCGAAGGGTCGCGCGACAGAAGTCTTCGATGTATTGTGCGAAAGAAGAAGAACAAAAAAAAAAAGTCTCGCTCCTTTTTTTTTTCTTCTTTTTCGTGCGTGCAGCTCTCTCCCGAGGGTGTCGAGATTGCCGTACGTGGCACGCTTTCGAAGCGCGTGCTGCGGCTGCGGATTTCTGTTCGTCGGCTTACCAAGTGATTTTCTTCGGGTGCGGAGAACGAAGCCGCGGCGCGATTTCTTTTTGCCAGTGATTACCCGTCTTTTCCCGCATCCGCGATCGTGCCCGTAAAATTTGGAGCTACGAGTGGAGACGATCGAGATGACGAGGAGTGCGGCGTCGGCCGCTTGTCACACACTTGTCGGACTTGATCGGTCGACTTGCGTACCGCGGCAAAAGAAAATCCTGCTGATTACACGCCGACAATGAGGCTCCAATTGAAACTGTCATCCATTGAAATCGGGGGAACGGAAGATAGCGCGAACAATGAGACATCGTTTCAGGTAGCAGACAGCGTTAAAATGGAATATTTCTTGAACGAGCAAGATATCCGAGGCGCGCAGAAACCTGGAAATTGAATGAAACCCTGCGCCTTCGCTGTCTCGCGGGGGAGAAACACTGCCCGCCGCTCTTGATGCTGATTGTGCAACAGAGTCATTGTTCATAGTTAGTAATGTAATTTCAACTGAGCGCGCAGTGGCTGTCAGTTATGGGATACAGTCGGCGACCCCGGCGCGATACCCATCTGATGTTTCAGTTATATCACTGGGACAATGAACGTTTCCCGATGTGTCAACGTGCTTCGGAGACGCTGCAATGCGCGCACGTAAACACGGCTTTCGGATTGCTCGATGCTGCGCGGGCTTGCGCCGTTCGCGCACATTTACTTCCGTCAAGTTTTCACTGCCTAACTTGACGCTCGGTCGACCACGCGGACCGTGCGAGAGTCACTGTCGCAGCTCGTCGTCCCCATTCGCTCGGCGACACTCCAATGCGTGCCCGTTATTCGAGAAGCGCAACACCTAATCAATTCATCCGAAATCTCTCGAGAAAAAAGAAAAGCCCCGAAGTAGAGTGCAAAGAAGCGATAAACAGGAGGGTGGTCTGCGTGTATATACGTGTATTCGCAAAGGGACAGGGAGGACGCTCACGCGACGACGATCCTGTGAAATACGAGTCGCGACGCCACTCGCTGTACGGGAAATGCACGAGCTCGAGGTGTTTAGCGCTCGACGACGTCGGAACAATGGCCTCGCAAGCTCGCACGCTAGTTTACCAACTTACTCGTTCACTGTTTTTTTTTTTTTTTTTTTTTTTTTTTCGTGTTGGTCGCTCGACGTGGATACGCAGAGAGTTTTCTAGAGCCAGATACAGAATTTTACGGTGGTCACATTGTTGAGCCACGATGAGAGTTTTCAGCAGCATGAGGAATGTTTCGAAATTTTTGGTTGATAGCGATTTTCCGGGAGACTATCCTCTTTTTTTATTGGAAAGTTTTCGTCGGCGTATTTTATTAGAGAATGTAACAGTGAATTTTGGTCGAGCTTTCTTGACATTGTTAATTTTTTATTCACCAAGTTAGACAAATTTATTAAAAGAAGAGGAAAGCATTTTCGAATTTAAATTTCGAGAGAAACTGTCTTTAATAAAAAAAAATGTGCTCGTTTTTCAAAGTAGAAAGCAGTGAAACGCTTTTTCATCTTAATCACCGCGCCGCCTGAAAAATTATTTACCTCGCTACACTCTATGTAAACAGTTTTCATTTTAAGAGTCTCACTTCATTAAAAGAAAGAATGGAAGTTGCCTTGCGCATCGCACCCACGCGCACGAAAAAAAAAAGAAAGAAAAAAGAATACGAGAAAAAGAAAATCTCACCTTATCCCATTCGCGTGTTCTACTCTTTTTCTCTCTTATCGTCACTAATTATTTCTTGCCCTTTTTTTACCTTTTGAAAGACCACGTGACAAACGAACAAAAAACAAAGTATCTCATGCGTAGGACGCACAGCGAGACAAAAGAAGAAAAAGAGCAAGGTGTTGTATAGTAGCTAGGCGGGAACGCAAGATCAGTCTTTGCAAAAAAAAAAAACACATTTATATACGTACGCGCGTCTCGTCATTTCGATCAGGTTCAAACTTTTCTTTTTAACCTAGCCCCACTGGTACGAAAATAACAATTTGAGCTTTCCCCCCCTCTCCTCGCTTTGCGGAGTCCCTGTGTGTGCCCTTTTATTTTCGCCTTTGTACCTCTCGGCGCCCGCCAACGCTTTTTGATAGAATATGTTTCCAAATGGCTGCCGAACATTTTTTTATTTGCTTTGATACTCGAGGCGAAAAGAACGAGCGTAGGTGTTCTGTGTATTTTTTTATGCTCGTCTTTTGCGATATAAATGGCTCGGATTCTACATCTGTCTAGTTGTGATTTTTTTCGCAGCGTTGGTATTCCGATGCCTTTCATTGTAGCTCTCGCATGATATCAAATCGATAGTGATGTTTTCAAACCTAGGTGATTCGGTGTGACAGATGAGATGTTCGTCGTTAATAAAAAAAAAACGGAGTAATAGAATTCTATTCGCTTGCTTCGCACAGTAATCCGCAGTCTCTATTCAAACCGCGCCGTGTACTCGAGCACATCGGTGCAAAGGAAACAAAAGAAACGAAAAGAAAAAAAAAGAAAAAAAAAATACTCTTGATGACGCTCATATTCTCAAGAGGCACGCACGCCGACGACATCGAAACCTTTTAAGGAGCAAGCGCTAGGCGAAGGGCGCCTGAAAAGTAGTTAACACGTGTCGGCCGTCGAGGCCGGGTATTAAGTGCCTCGCGAATTAAAATGTGAGATTGGCCCGCCGTGAATTCGCATAATAAACGAGTCTTCCCGCGGGCGCTATTGCATCGCATCAATATGCACGCCCGGGTCGCACTTTTTATAAACAAAATTAGGAGGGCGCAGGGCTATTTTTTATTCGACCTACGTGATGTGCTTTTCCTATGCACGCGCCTCCAGCTCGTTTTTTGCTCCTTTTAATCCTGTTAACAGTCATTACCGGACGACGGCGCTCCAGGCAATATTCATAGACGTGCATTTCGCCTAGCTATCTTTAGAGCTCAGTTTCCCGGAGATCAATGTAATCTTCATCTCTATTATTTCTTTATTTATTTTTACTTTCGACCGTAAACGGTTAATTGATCGGCAATGGCTCGTTTTGTATCATCGATCTTGTTAATCCGAATGCAATTGAAAAATATATTTGAAAAAGAGGGACGTTGATTGAACAATAGAAAGTACTTGCACTTGTGTAACGGACGAAAGCTCCTGACTATAACAAAAGAGAGGGCATTCAGCGTATATATTACGTGTTCGCGGAAAGGAAACGTCAGCCCTCGACGTTGAAAACAAAAGTAGCTAGCCTCATAATGTTGCTAGCAACGACCAATGAAACAATGTTGTCACGTTAAAGGAGATGATATACGAAAAGGAAGGCTGGCGAGCGCCGCTGGATATTTAGAAGCCCATCAGAAGCTCTCCGGGCATCATGCAATAATTTATTTAACAAGCTCTAGCTTCTCCGCTGCTACTCGGGGGCTCGAAAAAAAAAAAAAAAAAAAGAGAGAAACAAAATCCGGCGTAATTTCAGCTACGCGCGCCGTATTTAATGCGCCCAACTTGCTGCTGCTCCTCCTCGTGTAATACAATTCTGTCGCCCCGAGCATCGCCGTGCGCGCAACGACCAAGAAAAGACTCGTGCCCCGTGCGCTAACTTGCCCTTGTTGTTCTATTTTTCGAGCGCAGCTCATCTTCGTCGCGCACCAGTCCTTTTTCATTTTTTTTCTTCTCCCCGGGTTAGAAGCTCCCGGATAAGCGACATCGAAGCTTGCCTTTTTATTTCTTCGCGCGGGGGGG